TATCAGATCTAGTCCCTTAAATCTATTTCTCACTTCCACTGTATAGTCATAAGGGATTTGATTTAGGTCATACCTGAATGGTCTAGTGGTTTTCCCTACTTTCTTCAATTTAAGTCTGAATTTGGCAATAAGGAGCTCATAATCTGAGCCACAGTCAGCTCCTGGTCTTGTTTTTGCTGACTCTATAGAGCTTCTCCATCTTTGTCTGCAAAGAATATAATCAATCTGATTTTGGTGTTGACGATCTGGTGATGTCCATGTGTAGAGTCTGCTCCTGTGTTGTTGGAAGAGGGTATTTGCTATGACTAGTGCGTTCTCTTGGCAAAACTCTATTAGCCTTTGCCCTGCTTCATTCTGTACTCCAAGGCCAAATTTGCCTGTCACTCCAGGTGTTTCTTGACTTCCTACTTTTGCATCCCAGTCCCCTATAATAAAAAGAACGTCTTTTTTGGGTATTAGTTCTAGAAGGCCTTGTAGCTCTTCACAGAACTGTTCAGCTTCAGCTTCTTCAGCATTACTGGTAGGGGCATAGACTTGGATTACTGTGATATCGAATGGTTTGCCTTGGAAATGAACAGAGATCATTCTGTCATTTTTGAGATTGCATCTGAGTACTGCATTTCGGAGTCTTTTGTTTACTATGATGGCTATTCCATTTCTTCTAAGAGATTCTTGCCCACAGTAGTAGATGTAATGGTCATCTGAGTTAAATTCACCCATTCCAGTCCATTTTAGTTCGCTGATTGCTAAAATGTCAACGTTCACTCTTACCATCTCCTGTTTGACCACTTCCAATTTGCCTTGATTCATGGACCTAATATTCCAGGTTCCTATGCAATATTGCTGTTTATAGAATCGGACTTTACTTCCATCACCAGTCACATCCAAAACTGGGTGTTGTTTTTGCTTTGGCTCCATCTCTTCATTCTTTCTGGAGTTATTTCTCCACTGATCTCCAGTAGCATATTGGGTGTGTGTGTGAGTGTGTGTGTGTGTGTGTGTGTGTGTATGCCTAAAATGTATACATTCTTTATTTTTAGAGTCAGCCTTTTTGGTTTCTTATTTGCAGCACCCTTTGTATGTTCATTCAGCAACTCTCTGTTGAGGATCTGTGCTCTACAAAGCATATTCCTGAAACAAGCCTGAGTGCACAGATAGGGTTCCTGACTTCATGAAGTTTATACAGATATTTCTCATTTTACTCATTACCTGTTAATCATGTAAACATATCTTTAGGGAAGCATTTGGGGATTGTGATGTTTTGGGGTTGTTTTCTTTTTTCTTTTGGCCATGCTGTGCGACTTGCTGTATCTTAGTTTCCCAACCAGGATTAGAACCCATGCCACCTGCAGTGGAAGCAGAGAGCTCAAACCACTGGATAGCCAGGGAATTCCCATGATGATTGTTTGTTTGTTTAATGACCCCAAGTAAGCCCTTAATGTTGCCTGGCCATCATATTTAATTTTTCCCTGTCTACTCACTCTCCTGCTCTCCTGGATGACTGTTTCCTACCTTCTTTTTCTCAAGCCTTACTCTTAGCTGCTCTTGTCTCCTGTCTCATAGAAAATCAAAGCAATCAGAAGAGAATTTCCAAACAACCCCTGCTTCTTCCCTGTATCTGTGCCTGATGTTCTGCTTTGTCCTGTGGTGAATGAACTAACCATACTCTTATGAGAGGTCAAGCTATCAATGTGTGTACTGTATCCCTTTGGCCTACTTAAGGACATCCCTTCTCTGCTACATCTTTCTCATCAGCGTACAGACATGCCACATCTCGGTTTCTTTCTTCCTAGTCTCTCTTAAACCCTCTCCAGGCATACTCTCACTCACACCACTCCATCAGAACTACTGTCACCAGTGACCTTCATGTTGCTAACCAGTGACCTCACTTAGCTTTTGGTATAGCTGACAACTCCTTTCTCCTTGAACTTGGCTTCCAAGACACCACATTCTTCTACTTCACTGCCTCTTGCCTTTTAGTTTCTTTTGCCAGTTCCTCCTTGTCCTGAAACTTGATGTTAGGGTGCCCCATGTCGCCAACCTTAGTACTCCTTGCTTCACTATACTCTGTTGGTGATCTTATTCAGTCACATGGCTTTAGAGGCCATCCAAAAGATAACTTCCTAATCTAATGGTTGAAATTTAGTGAGTGGGTTCAAATTCCGCTTCCATAATTTAAAGCTGTGTTACCTTAGGCAAGTTACTTTACCTTTCTTTGCCTTAGTTTCCTCATGGCATTTGCTGAGTACTTCAGTATTTGCTGAAGGAATGAAGCAAAAATAAAACCACCTTTACCAAGAAAAATGGTAATTTATAAGTTTCTTTATAGAACTGCCAGTACAGAAAGAAATAAGAATTAACTATTTTACAAATGAGGGGGAAATTTAGCAGTTTGTAGTACTAATTCCATTCTGACTATTGAACACATCACACAATTAATTAAGTATACTTAACCAGTGCAGTCTGGCTTCTATGCTAATAGCTCTACTGAAATTTCTTCACTTAAGCCACTAGCAACCTAATTGTCAAATTTGATGGGCATTTTTCAGTCCTTACTGTGCTAATTTAGCTGTTAATTTCATTCTCCTTGAAATGTTTTGTCTGTTGGCTTTCACAAACCTCTCTGAGCAATTTTCCCTTTCTCCTTCTATCCACTCCGTAAATATCAGTGGTTTCCAGGGTTCAGTTCCCACATGTTTCTATTCATCCTTTATCCAACCTAACTACCCTGTCTTGCCTGAAACTTGACCCTCTCAGACTAGGGAGGAGTTTGAAGTCCTGTCTTCTACCCACGCTTGCTTTCAAATCTTTACTTCCTCTGCTCCTTAGAAAACCCCCATTCCTTTTGAGGTTTATACCTTCTGACTTTATCACCCTCAACTTCCTCTTCTTGTAGCTGTCATCTACCAACCTTTCCCTCATATGTTGAGCATTTCAGCACCTGGTTAACTGTCTTCCTCTCTACCCAGTTCCATACACCATTCTCAGCAACCCAGCATCCACATCATGGCTACTCGGTTTATTTACCTCCTCATAAACTTTCTTTTGCACAGCCCCAGCAACACGCTCCCTTAGACATCTTGAGCCTTTTCATCTTCAGAAAATGCACAAACTCCAAATTCACACATTTAGACATCCTTTTTTTGACTGCAGCCTTTTTCCTACCAGCTTACTTGGGCAAAGGCCCCACAGAAAAAATTATTTGGCCTCATTAAGACTGTCATCTCATTGAGTCCTCTACTTTCTCACTATCTCCATAGCCCTCTTTTATCTGAACTTCTTTAGCATATTTGTGCAGGATAACCCCAGCCCTGGATGAATCCAGCCATCTGCCACCTCTTATTTGCACAAGCCCTCACACAGCTGGAGAAAACCACCCCTCGACTCAGAAAAGTTTGGTGGTTGTGATTTGATAGTGTTTCAGTGATCTTCTCACTCATCTTTTTTTTATAGGCTCTCTTGTTTTTCATTTTTATTTATTTATTCAGTTTGGGTTATGCTGGGTCTTCGTTGCTATATGTGCCTTTCTCTAGTTGTGGTGTGGGCTTTTCTCTAGTTGCAGCAAGCAGGGGCTACTCTTTGTTGCAGTGTGCAGGCTTCTCTTGTTGCAGAGCATGGGCTCTATGGCCCACAGGGTTCACTGGTTGCTGAGTGTGGGCTCAGTAGTTGTGGTTCCTGGGCTCTCGATCACAGGCTCAATAATTGTGGCACACGGGCTTAGTTGCTCCTTGGCCTGTGGGATCTTCCCCAACAGGGATCAAACCTGTGTGCCCTGCATTGGCAGGTGGATTCTTTTACCAGTGAGCCACCAGGGAAGCCACTCACTTATCTTTCTTATCTGCCTCCTTGCATCCCACTGGCAGAGGTTCTGAATGCAAATTTGATCATGTTACTCCTCTGCTACCTTCAGAGGAGTAGTTTTAAAAGACCAGTTCATGTATTTTTAAAAGACCAGTTCTTCTCAGATTTTAACTTGAAGATGAAGCACCTGGGAATCTTGTTAAACTGTAGGTTCAGCTTCAGTAGGTCAGCAGGAGAGCCCAAGAGCCTGCATTTCTAACAGACTTTCCCACCATCTTTTTTCCCCCAATTTTTATGAGGTAACCTCAATGTTTAGTGATCTAGACCAGAAGTTTTGAAATCCTAAGTAAAAAATTAGAAAGGTTTGATGCTTATCTTATCCTGAAGTCCCAGAATGTCAGAGTTGGGACAAACGTTAGGGGTCATTTAGATTTATCTACTCGCTGTATGGATAAAGAATGGAGAAAGGAGCGAATTCTAGGCCAAAGCTAAGTCACAAAAAATTTTCCAACTCCCAGGACAAGACTCTTTCTACTGTGCCATGAGACTGATTCTCAATTTTAAGTTTCTTTGGCCCTTCAAATCATTCAATTTCTCAACAACCGCAAGAATGAACATAGTGTGTGCCTATGTGCCAGTTGTTGAGCACATGGAATCCAAAAGACAGGGTGTCTGCCACCAAATGATCAAGGCATAAATAACAGGCATCCTTTCTTGTCCTCTCCACTTCTCCCAGATCTTCTCATCTCACATCCTTTTCCAAGTTTGTAAATGTAAATTTTGTAGCAATAAAGGAAACAGCATTATACATAGCAAATCATGATGAGCTATAAAAGAAAGCTGAGAGTTTTGGGAATTAAATCTTAAAATGGATATGAAAGAACAAATATGCCATTCCCTCAGAGCAGTAATTTTTAGTCTTTATTTTGAAGTTACCTACATTTTGACTCACAACCCAGAACACACAACTTGTGCATAGTTGTATAACTGAAAAATCATATCTAAATGAGTACACTAGTACTTATCCAGGATATATGTGAAGCATGAGTGTTTTTTTTTTTAAGTTTCTTTTTAAAGCCTTACAACCCACTAACTTGATTTCATGAACCATAATGGTTCTGACCCTGAGTTTGGGACTCAAGCATCATAATCACATTGAATATTGGGTTTAACTGACTCAGTTTCTGATTCAGTATGATATCTATCTTCTGCTCAGGTTAAACTCATGTCTGCAAGGAAAACTTCTCTACTATTAGATTCCTCACTTCCTTTAAATCCCATTTAAACTGCACTTATTTGAAGGATTTCTGTCTATATTATTCCATTTTCCCTTCACATTTATGCACTGTATTTCCTGATTGCCATGTGTTAGTACTTTGTTTTGATTTCATTTATTTTTTACTGTGTCCTCACTTAGACCAATTCCACAGGAGCAGATATCCTCTATTCTGTTTCTCTGGAACTCTCCCATCCCCTTCGATTTTGCACCTGGTTGGCATTTTAATCAATCATCCATTGACCTGTGATTCTTGCAGGGAACAGATATTTGTTTCTGACATGGTGTTTTTCTCATACCTGTTTCTCATGTGCCCATCCATCTGATTGCCCTGCAGAACAAAAGCCTGTGAAAGAAGGACGACTATCACAGGTCCGGCTCTTCACCAGAGGCTTTGAGGATGGCCTGGGCTTTGAATATGTGATATTCAAAAATAATGATGAGAAAAGGACAGTTTGCTTGTTTCAAGGAGGTCCTTATCTGCAAGGAATACCTGGGTAAGAATGATAGCTTAGAAATGTGGCTCTAAGAGAGTATCTTACAGTATCACCTTTTATCAATGGACTATGATAAAGGCATTCAAGTGGTAATATAGATACATATATATATTTACTGATGTGGATATATATATATATATAGAGAGAGAGAGAGAGGGATATAAATTATTGAATGACAGAAGCATAGGACATAGTGCAAGTATATAATTTTAGAGAGTATCATTAACATGTTAATAATGGTTTGTCACTAGATGGCCTTATAGGCTTCCCTGAAGGTGCTTCAGCAGTAAAGAATCCACCTGCAATGCAGGAGATGTGGGCTTGATCCCTGAGTCGGGAAGATTCCCTGGAGGAGGGCATGGCAACCCACTCTAGTATTCTTATCTGGAGAATCCCATGGATAGAGGAGCCTGGTGGGCTACAGTCCATGGAGTCACAAAGAGTCAGACACAACTGAGCAACTTAGCACACATTCATCTAGATATATGCCCAGGAGTGGGATTGCTGGATCATATGGTAACTCTATTTTTAGTTTTCTAAGGATCCTTCATATTGTTCTCCATAGTGGCTGTACCAACTTGCATTCCCCCCAACAGTATAGGAGAGTTCCCTTCTCTGACCTAGCAACAGTGGTAGATGGCCTTATAATCTTTAGTTTCTTTTTCTTCTGTTTGTCTGCATTTCCTAAATTTTTAAACAATGATGTATATAGTTAGTTTGATAAAAACATAAATTTCCTAAATTGCATTTTAACTTTTTGCTTACTTGTGACCTGATTATTATTAGGTTCTAGCTTTGTTACAAATACTACAGTATTATGCTATGAACAAAAGAAAGGTGAGAAGAACATGAATATAATTTGATATTTAGTACCTTGAACGTGAACTATTAAATAAGTGGAACTTTCAGAAATATACTATATGGGATGCTTGGATAATTTTTGTCTCTGAAGGGGCTGTTTTCAGAACTTCTAAATATCTTTCTCATTTCCTCCTGTTGTACCTAGATTCCTTCATGGAGGTGCCATTGCAACAATAATAGATACTGCTCTTGGTTTGTGTGCAACTGTACCTGGCGAAGCTGTCATGACTGCAAATCTCAACATCAATTTTAAAAGGTAAATTCATGGGTATTCTTTACTTCTTAGGTGTCATAAGTTGGATTCCCCAGCAGCAGACCCGGAGAAAAGGATTTCTGTGCAAGAGAGAAAGTACTCCCAGAGGAAACTAGCTATGGCATGGGAGAAGGACAGGGAAGGAAGTCACCCAGGGTTAGGCTCTCCGTCCTGCAAAGGGTAGCTTCATCCTGAACATGCAAAGAATTCCAGAGTGAAATGTGTACCTTGGGATTGTCCCTACCTCAAGCAAGGGAGCTAGGGTCTTCATATTCTCTCACACATTCGTCATAAGAAAAGAACTACCCTGGGACCATAAATTCCCAAGTACTTCTCTCTCACAGTCTTTGAGCAAAGCAGGCTCTAAGAAAAGTATCCAAAAAGCAAAGGGGAAAAAGGATTGAAAGGAATCTGAGTGAAGCACAAAATACCACTACATAACAAAACATATGTTTTATATAACATTACACAAAGAAATAAAAGGGCAGCAAGAAAAGTTTGGTATCCATCAAAAACAAAGCTCAGCATGATCTTATTTAATTCTTCAATTATGCAGCTATACCTCTAGAGTCAATCAAATATTATGGATATTGGCATGAGCATAGAGAAGGAGACCAATAGGGCAGAACAGAGTTTAAAAACAGAGGTTAGTAAAGAAGATCTCCAAACAAGTTTCTGAGGGTTATTATTTCACACAGTAGGAAACATGTGGGTAACAAAACATCTCCATATTATACCCCAGAGAGTTGGATGGCTTCTCTGGCAGTCATCAGGGAGCCATGCTTCATAGATTATGGGTTTATTTACTTTAAGTAATACTTATCCAGGTATGTCCTACTCAGGGCATTCTATAGAAAAAGACTTTTCCCCCTAGCATGTATTATTAGTGTATCTCAGGGGTCAGCATAACTTTTTCTACAAATCTTTTATGTTTTATGGGCTATACAGTCTCTGCAACTACTCAACTCTGCCAGCATAGCACAAAAGCAACCACAAATAATACATAAATATAATACATAAATAAATGGGTATAGCTGTGTTGCAATAAAATTTTATTTTTAAAACAGGTAGCTGGCCAATGAGACATACTTTGCCAACTCTTGGTCTAATTACCTGCAGGCCCAGTGAGAAAAAATTAGTCAGAGTCACTTGCTTCCTGGGAGTGTTTCTCTTTGCTCCCCACAAGACACACACACACACATACAGGGCCATTTGCCTCCTGGGAGTGTTTCTCTTTGCTTCCCACAACACACACGCACACACACACACACACACCAAAAAATTAGAGGCCAGCTGCTTTAACTTCCTCCTCCCCAACTGCCAGTAATAGTAACTTGAAAATAAAAATAACTTAAACAAGATAGAAACTTATGTGAAAGAAATCTAGTATGGCAGCTCCAGAGTTGCAGGCTCTTCCCAGCTCATCTTTTCACAGTTCAGAGTGCCAATAGGAGCTGTCATCACATGTCCCGCACAGCAGGATTGAGGAATAGGGATAGAGCTGTCTTCTCTCTTTCAAAGAGACTTCCTGAAAATACTGCACAACACACCCATTTAATCTCATTAGCATTAAAGGAGATTGGGAAAGTGGTTCCTTAACTGTCACACCAATTAAATTCAGTGTCATCAACTAACACAACTACAGACATTGTTTTAAATTTTTTTATTTTTTGTCTTAGTTGCTGCATGAGGGCTTTCTCTTGTTGCAGCAAGCAGGGAGCTACTCTTTAGTTGCAATATGCAGGCCTCTCATTGCAATGGTTTCTCTTGTTGCACAGCATGGGCTCTGGGACACACAGGCTTCAGTTGTGGCTTATGAGCTTAGCTGCCCTGGGGGCATGTGGAATCTCCCCAGACCAGGTATCGAACCCATGTCCTATGCATTGGCAGGTAGATTCTTAACCACTGGACCACCTGAAAGTCTACAACATAGACGTATTAATAAATCCACACATAAATAATACAATATAAATTATTTTAAATACTAAAACACTAATTAAAAACATAATTGGATTTAACTAAACATCAAATTAGTTTCTTCTAATTATCAAATTATCTCAGTGATTACAAAATCTTATTATTTCATCTACACTTAACCTTCCATTTCCCAGGTGGCACTAGTGGTAAAGAACCTGTCTGCCAATGCAGGAGACATAAAAGACATAGGTTCAATCCCTGGATTGGGAAGATCCCCTGGAGGAGGGCATGGCAACTCACTCCGGTATTCACGCCTAGAGAATCCCATGGACAGAGGAGCCTGGCAGGCTGCGGTCCATAGGGTTACAAAGAGTTGGACACAACTAAAGTGACTTAGCACACATACACATTCCCATTTGCACAGAATTTTTTTTAAGTTTGATGTATTCCCTTTTTTTTTTATTTTGTTGTCTCTGTCTTTCGTGTCATATCCAAGAAATCATTGCTGAACCAACATCATGAAGCTTTCCCCCAATGTTTTCTTCTAGTAGTTTTATAGTTTTAGGTCTTTCATATAGGTCTTCAGTCCTTTTCACATTATTTTTTTTATATGTGGTTTAAGGTAAGAGTCCAACTTCATTCTTCTATTTGTGGATATCCAGTTTTCCCAGCACCATTTTTTTAAGAGACTGTCCTTTCCACATTGAGTGGTTTTGGTCACTTGTAGAAAATCATTTGACCATATATGTGAGGGTTTATTTCTAGGCTTTCTATTCTATTCCATTGATCTATATAGTCTGTCTTTAGCCAGTACCACACTGTCTTGATTATTGTAGTTTTGTAATGTGTTTTGAAATCAAGAAGTGTGAGATTTCCAACTTTTTCCTTCTTTTTCAAGATTGTTTTGGCTCTTTGAATCTTTGAATCTCAAGGAGTCCCTTGAGATTCACGTAAACTTTAGGTGGATTTTTCTTTTTCTACAAAAAATGTCATTGAGGAGAAAACAAGATGGTGGAGGAGCAGGTGGACGTGGAGTACATCTCTCTCCACGGATACATTAGGAATACACCTTCAGACACAGAAGTGCATGCAGAACACCAGCTGAGAGCAGATGGGAGTACTTGACCAGCGGAAAAGAATATATAGAACCACACAAAACCTGGTAGGATAAAGGAACGAGGGGGAAAAACAGGAATGTTAGTAGGACTGAACCTGCCCTCGGTGGGTGGCAGAACTGAGGCAGGGGTCTGACCCCCACATTGGAGCAATTATCTGAGTCAGAGGAGAAACATTTAAGGCTGAGAGTAAGAGAGCTGATTTGTGGCAGCCTAAATGGAATGAGAATCAGACAGTCCTTGCCGCAGCCATACATACCCCAGACAGGGATGCAGGTCCCCTGGAAGGTGCAGAGGCTGAGAGCTGGAGTTGAGGGGTTGTGGAGCAATCCCAGGGCAAGGGCTGCTGTTGACTGTGGAGAGACAGATCAAGGTGAGGTGAGGAAGGAGACTGTGGTGGGAAATACCTGTGGAGGAAAGAAGGGCAGCCATGGAAGCAAGGCGATACTGCTGAGTCACGCGTAGCAGCCATCACTACAGCCTCTCTCTCCCCATACGCCAGCATTGGCAGCTGAACAACAGAGAGGCTGGCCCATCAAACGCCTGTTGCACTGAACTACAGAGTAGAACCCCACCCAGGGTGCTCCTTTAAGTGACTGATGTGCCAAACTACAGAGTAGGACCCCAGCCAGGGGCGCCCCTCTATGTGCCTGACGTGCTAAACAACAGAGAAGGGCCCCAGGCAAGGGAGCAAGCACTCTAAGTGCCTGAATGGGTGCAGCTACAGAGAAAGACTGGCCAAAGAGGCCTTCTGATCGCCAGCTACAAGAGGCTCGAAAAAAGACTTTGAGAGTGCCGTAACTCCTGTGGTGGAGGCAGTTCATGTCCCTGCACACTTGGCGCTGCCAGGGTCCCTGCAAGCCAAGCAGCTGCGCCACCTTCACACTCAACTCTCACTGGGACAGAGCTGCCACAGACAAAAAAAGTCTTGCATCTGTGTGCACAGGGTTGCTTCGGTCCTGTCCAACACTTTGCAACCCTGTGGACTGTGGCCTACCAGGCTTCTCTGTCAGGGGGGTTCTCCAACCAAGAATACTGGGGCATATTGGCCAATACTGGTTGCCATACCCTTCTAGAGCACTACATTTCCATCTGCCCTAGCCACCAACTCCTGTGAGTGCCTGGTGCTGCCAGAACCCCTGTGACCCAAGCAGCTGCACCATCTTCACACCTGGCCCTCACAGGGGAAACCCAAGTCCTCCAGGGCAGCCTCAGGAGCAAACCCCAGTGGATGACCCAAATGTAGAGGTGGAAATAAAACCACAGTTGAAACCCGGAGGCAGTGTGGCTACAGAAGAAGACCCAAAACCTTCCCACCAGCTCTACAAGCTGCAGATTAAATCCACACAATCAACTAGGCAGACTCTGTGTCTATGGAGTATATAAAAAGACACTGAGAGCTCCCACAAAAGAAAATGCACTATTTCTGACAACTGTAAACATTGGAGGCGAGAACACACAGGAGTAGGACCAGATTAGAATCTGAGCTGCCCCCACAGCAGGTCCAGAGATCAGCACAGTGTTGGAGGGCATCCTGGGGAGGTGAGGCGGACTGTGACTCCCAGAGGGGGAAGGAACTCTTGACACCAATGACTCAAGAAAAGCAAGACTTGTTCTGTAGATTCTTTTGGATTTTTTTTCCTTTTTTTTTTTTTCTCCCTCTTGCAGTTATCAATTTTATTGGCATTATGAAATCTAATTAAGCTTCTGAGCTTTTTTTTTTCCCTCAGTCACATTTTTTATTGTTGTTTTAAACCTCTGCCTCTACATTGGACTTTTGCAGTTCTGGGGAGTTTTCCTTTTTTTTTCTTTTTCTTTTCTCTTTTTCTAATTTCAATTTTTCATTTTTTAAACCTATAAGTATTTTTCTACATTTATTCCTTTGTTTGCTTTTTCTACTGTTCTTTTCCCCTTGCAGTTAAGTTCAGTTCAGTCGCTCAGTTGTGTCCAACTCTTTGCAACCCCATAGACTGCAGCATGCCAGGCCTCCCTGTCCATCACCATCTCCCAGCGTTTACTCAAACTCATGTCCATTGAGTCGATGATACCTTCCAACCATCTCATCCTCTCATCCTCTTCGCCTCCTGCCTTCAATCTTTCCCAGTATCAGGGTCTTTTCAAATAAGTCAATTCTTCGAATCAGGTAGCCAAAGTATTGGAGTTTCGGCTTCAACATGAGTCCTTCCAATGAATATTCAGGACTGATTTCCTTTAGGTTGGACTGGTTGGATCTCCTTGCAGTCCAAGGGACTGTCAAGAGTCTTCTCCAATACCACAGTTGAAAAGCATCAATTCTTTGGCACTCAGCTTTCTTTATAGTCCAACTCTCACATCCATACATGACTGCCAGAAAAACCATAGGCTTGACTAGATGGACCTTTGTTGGCAAAGTAATGTCTCTGCTTTTTAATATGCTATCTAGGTTGGTCATACACTTTTCTTCCAAGGAGTAAGCATCTTTTAATTTCATGACTGCAGTCACCATCTGCAGTGATTTTGGAGCCCAAAAGAGTAAGTCTGTCACTGTTTCCATTGTTTCCCCTTCTGTTTGCCATGAAGTGATAGGACCAGATGCCATGATCTTAGTTTTCTGAATATTGAGTTTTAAGTCAAGTTTTCACTGTCCTCTTTCACTTTCATCAAGAGGCACTTTACTTCTTCTTCGCTTTCTGCCATAAGGGTGGTGTCATCTGCATATCTGAGGTTTTTGCTATTTCTCGCAGCAATCTTGATTTTCAGCTTGTGCTTCATCCAGCCCAGCATTTCACATGATGTACTCTGCATATAAGTTAAATAAGCAGGGTGACAGTATACAGCCTTGACATACTCCTTCCCCAATTTGGAACCAGTCTGTTGCTCCATGTCAAGTTCTAACTGTTGCTTCCTGACCTGCATACAGATTTCTCAGGAGGCCAATCAGGTGGTCTGGCATTCCCATCTGTTTAAGAATTTTCCACAGTTTGTTGTGATCCACACAGTCAAAGGCTTTGGCATAGTCAATAAAGCAGACGTAGATATTTTTCTTTTTTTTTTTTCTGCTTTATTTATTTATGCTCTGTTTTCTTGATCTATTTGTCAGATTCACCGTTTAGCTTTTTAAGCCTCTCTATTGTGTATGTGTTTTCTCTTTTATTTTTAAAATTTGCTTGTACATCTATTATCTTTCTTTTTGCTTCTAACACACATCTAAGTAAGTTGTCTAATAAAACTGGATAAATATAATGATATGAAGCCTGTTTTTTATGCCAATCAAGCTTATCTGTGCCTAAATATTAGTTGCATTAAGAAAATTATATTCTATAAACAGTTATATTATTTTCTATTTCTCCTTTCTCTTCCTTTCTCTTATTAAACAAGGAACTTTTCATTCTAACGGACAGACCTCTTAATTCACAATAGCTCAAGGTAAAAAGGAACATATTGGCTTGCATGGTGGAGAAGACAGGTATGTCTGGGTGCAGGCATTCAATGATGCCGTTAGGAATCTGTGCCTGTGTCTCAGTCACACTTTCCTTTAGATCTTCTCTATCCTTGGGTAGCCTTTCCCAATTTAGTGCCACAGCTAACAGGCAGGCTTGTATCTTGCAAGCCTAGCAACTCAAGCAGAAAAAGAACCCAGCCCCAAGGGCTCCAGCACAAATTTCAGGATTGAGAATCTCAGCTCATGCTCATATGCACAACCAGTCACTATGGGGGCTGGGGGATGGTCAGGGACTGTGGGGAAAAAGAGTCAGCTGTCAACCCTAGTTGACATACATGGGTTAAAAATGGGACTGATTCCCCAAAGAAAAGGGAGTGTTGGTGTGTGGATGAGTGCTGAGAGGTAGAACAGATGGATAAACAAAAGGAGCAATGTTAGTAGGAAAGGGAGATGCTGAACAGGCAAGAACACCTAATGTCCCCTAGGTCTTAGTAAATACTGGGTTGGCAAAGCTCAGTTTTTTCATCAAGAAGTTCAGGAGAAGCTAATGGGAGCAAAAACTGGACAGAAGGGTAATTAGAGTGTTCATTTCCTTTCCACATGGAGTAGTTCCTTCATCCACATGATATGGTACTATAGGAACATAAAACACATCCCCCTTCTCTACTTTGTGTTTCTACCAACTAAAATTTTACCTTTAAAGAGACAACGTTTTTCACTACAGCATTTTATCTCTAAGATTCCCAGAGTTGACTGTAGCCAGTAGACACATATAGCTATATAAATTTAAATATAAATTAATTGAAACTAAACTAATTTAAAGATTTAGTTTCTCATTCACAATAGCCATATTCTAAATGCTCAGTAGCCATCTCTGGCAACCATGTTGGACAGCTCAGCTGTGGCTCATCATTTCTGTCATCACTTACAGTCCTGTTGGACAGCTCTGACTTAGCACATTAAGCTAATACCAGCAATTTGTTATTCAGTGTCTTTCTAGTAACAGTTACTCTAAAGTGGATTGGGTGAGAAATTTTGATTATGACAGAGAAAATGAGAGAAGCTGACTAGGACCATTCCATGGTCCTGTTTTCATTTCTTTAAAGGATTTCAGCTCCCTTCAGATGGGACAGTTCCTGCCATCACAGAGATGGAATCCCTGGTGATCTCTTTGAACATAACCCACAACAGCAGGCTGGGACTGGATGCCCAGGAGCCACCTGAGCACAGTTGTGCTTGGGAGCAAGGGAGTGTGAGTGGCTGGTAATGTCAGCCCCACTTTAGGAGCAGTTTATCTAAGACAGTCAGTACCCACTGATACTCAAGTGTCAGAAATTTCCACCCCTGTCATGCACTTGATCACCTCTCAGTGTTACATAAATCTGATAAAAACTGATTTTTTTTCCTTTTTTGTTCTGCAGACCTGTCCCTCTTTGTTCTGTTGTTGTGATAAATAGCCAACTTGATAAACTTGAGGGGAGGAAATTGTTTGTTTCCTGTAATGTTCAAAGTGTTGATGAGAAGACTCTATACTCAGAGGCAACAGGTAAGAAGTTGCCACTTTCTATTTTAAGTTTGGTCTCAGCTATTTGGGGTTTTTTTGTTTGGAGAGGGTGGGGTTGGTTTGGTTTGGTTTGGTTTTTTAACCCATGCATGCCCAGAAATTCTTAATTCCCTGTCATGCAGAGAACAAGCTATTGTTATTCATTGTTGGCCAGTATCTCTCAAAATTATAGTCATGTGCCTTTTGACCCATTTTCAGGATTTTATTCCAAAGGTGTACTAACATGTGTGCAACATTACAACATGTGGACAGTTGCTCTGTTGTTGTTTAGTCGCTAAGTCTTATCTGACTCAATTGGGACCCCATGGACCCCCTGCCAGGCTCCTCTGTCCATGGGATTCTCCAGGCAAGAATACTGGAATAGGCTGCTGTTTCCTTCTCCAGGGGATCTTCCTGACCCAGGGATTGAACTCACATCTGCTTGGCAGGCAGATCCTTTACCACTGAGCCACCTGGGAAGCCTCTAAGGTTGCTCTAGAGTCCTAGTATTTGTGCTACTCATGCAGTGTTATTTGACCTAGTCAAAGATTGGCCAAACATAGATATCTATCAATAGGAGACTAGGTAAAGAGACTACAGTTCATCCATATACTATATTGTGTGTGCCATAAAAATTATTGTGGAAGAAAGTGGCAGCCAACTCCAGCATTCTTGCCTGGGAAATCCCATGGACAGAGAAACCTGGAAGGCTACAGTCCATGGGGTCACAAAGAGTCAGACACAACTGAGCAATTAAACAACAAATAAGAATAAGGGAACTCTTTTGGTATGATATGGAGCTATATGTCATTACTACATTCTGAACGAAAAATACAAGATACAGGACAGAGACTGTATTTATGCTATCATTAGTGTAGAAAAAAGAGAGAGGTTCTTCCCATTCTCTTCCCTTTTTCTTCTTCCTTCCATTTCACCCCTTGCTTTCTTCTTAAATATTTCTTAAGCTATTAGGGAGAGGGGGGGTAGGGCGTGGTAGGCTCAGGGGTGAGGGCAGGGTCAAGGGGAGGGATGACTACAACAGCCCATCCCTGTCTAGGAGCCTGAGTGGAGTAAAGGGTGTCGGCCCAGGGCGGTGGCCCAGCACAGGATGTCTGAGTCTAAGTAGGGGAAGGAAAGAGTTCACGTAGGGAGCTGCATGGGTTTCAGAGCCCACAGGGAAACGGTGGCATCTGCACGGGCTGGGAACCAGGCTTCTCACTTCAGAGGAGTCCAGATATGGAAAAAGTGCAAATGAGAATGAACCCTATGGTCCTGGATCAGAGGTGGAGATATGGACATGGATATTGTCTTTTGCTCTTGCAAATACTGTTGTAATCAGTAACTTTGTATATTGTCAGCTCTCACAGGGCCTTTGCAAGTGGTGGGTCCTGGAAGCTACATCTTCAATAGCTTCAGACTTAGAAAAGTTAATTTAGATATCCAATACTTTTTGTTTGTTTTTTTTTTTCTTTTTATTTTAATGGAGCTCAGATTCACATGTTTGGGTTAGTCAGAATCCTTGATGTAGGATATATACAGTCATTATTAGTATTTACATGAAAGGTAATCTTTAACTTACTCATTCACTAATGTACTTATTTTTTCTAATTTAATAACAAACATCTTGAAATTTTCAATCAAACAAGAACCATTGATGGGCATCTGGGTTGCTTCCATGTCCTGGCTATTATAAACAGTGCTGCGATGAACATTGGGGTGCATGTGTCTCTTTCAGATCTGGAAGAACCAGAATCTTAATAATATTATATCCCAACTTAATTACTTTTCCCCATCTCATCCTTCTATTTTTCCTTCAGAAGTAACTGTGATCTCGAATTTTGTGGTTTTCATTTCTTTATACCTTATCTTTTTAAGTTTTATTCAGAATATATGTGTGCCTAAGTAATATATTGTTTGGGTGTTTGTTTTTGAACTTTGTAGAAAAGAGATTGTACTGTATGTGCTTTTCTGGGATTTGATTTTTTTTTTTTTCCCACTCAGCTTCATGTAACTGAAGTTCACACATGTTGTTGCTTCTGTAGGTTGTTCATTTACTGCAGTATAATATTCCATTGTGTGACTGTACCGCAACGAATTTATCTCCTCCTCTAATGGTGGAAGTCTGACTGTTATGAATGGGGCTACTATGAACATTCTTATTCATGTCTTCTGCTGGTATATATGGGCAAGAGCTTGGCCTGTGCTTAGGAGTGGAATTTCTGGGTTGTGGGGTGTAAGAGTGTTCAGCCTTACAGAGGAATGACAGATTATTTTCTCAAACTGTACAAATTACATTCCCACCAGCAACAGAAGAGATTCTCTTGATCCCTATCTTTTCCAGCAATTGATAAAATCAAGCTTCTTGATTTTTGCCAATCAAATGGTTGTAAAATGGTATATCAGTGTGATCTTAAGTTGCATTTTCCTGATATATTTATTAATCATATTTGTCTCCCATTCTGCAAAATTCCTATTTGTTCAACCTCTTTTATTGTTTTTTCTCACTTTTTTAATCAGTTTATAGGAATTTTTATCTATATTTTTATTAAACTAATCTTTTTGTTGACTGTATAAGCTGCACATATCTCCTAGAATATGTAAGTTGCCTTTTATTTGCTATGTTCTCTTTTTATGAACAGAAATTTTTGATGTAAATATAGTCACATTTATTAAATTTTTTTCCTTTACAGAGAATGCTTTTGTGTCTTGTTTAAGAAATTCATATTTCCCTTAAGTGTAAGCTTTTGCAGGAATGATGGATAAAAGAAGCAGGAGGAAGATCATGAATAATTTGAATCCACAGTTAATTTAAACCCCATTCCAGGCTGTGATTTGTGCTTCCTGTCTCACTAAACCTTTCAGTATCATAAAGGTACCAGATGACTCAGTTGTAATTTCACTTCCTTTCACCTTTTTGACTATCTCTAATGGAAGTGGTAAAGAACCATGAAATGACCAAGAGGTAGACGACTTGGTTACCCAGGAGATGCTAATACAGTATTGTGATAGTCAGAAGTTGATTCTTAATTTAGCTGAAAAATAAGAGTATGCAGATATCCTAAGAGTACCAATATGAATCAAAGTGCTTTTCTTTGTGTGTATTTATATATATATATTATATATATATATTATTATATATATTAAATATATATATATTTCTACTTAGAGAAGTTTCATCAGGTTAAAGTCAGTTGACTTATAATCATCTCCTTCTATTTTGTTTAGGTTTATTTATAAAGCTGGATCCTGAAAAAAAGAGCTTCTAGTGAACAGAGCTTCTTTTAACATAAAAGAGCTTCTGGTGAATTCCATACCCATCTGCGTAAGGCACTGCTCTTGTCATCCACTGTTGAATCCCCATGAGGCAAAACCTGCTAACACGGACTTTCCTAAATAAGTCTTTTGAATTCAATTCCAGGAGCTCCATTTCCACCTTCCAAACTTTTTTAACACAGAGACACTCCCTGTGAGAGTATCAGCAATTCTTTCTGTCTCCTTAGGATGAGTGTCTGGTTCTCCTAAAATCTGAATGGGCTCCTTAAGGTTGCTCAGGCGTCATGTCTGATCCATTGCAGACTGGAGGAAAAATTCATACTGAAACTTTTACCCCAAACTTGGAAATGCCAGAAAACTGTAGAAAGGAATAAATATGTGGGTACATGTCTGTGTGTGTGTGTGTGTGTGGTGTATGCATTTTAAATTACAAAACTAGCTTCGTTGTATCTAAACAAATCCTCTAGGCAACAGTAGGAAACACAACCAGTTTCTATAGAATCAGACCCTTCACCTCTGTTGTCTTGGAGCCTAGGGATTAAACTACTGTACCATTTTAACATAGACTGTGTTATTGTCTCTTACCAGTAGCATGGTTTATCATCACTGGAAGGAGCCTGTATTCATTTCCTAAGTGTCTTAATCCATTTGGACTTTTATAACAAAATACCACAGGCCAAGTAACTTGTGAAAAACATAAACTTATTGCTCACAGTTACAATGAGTTAAAATGGAAAGTCCCCAGATCAGGATGCCACTGTGTTCACCTTCTGATGTGGGCCCACTTACTAGTTCATATCTGGTACCTTCTCACTGTGTCCTTACATGGTGGAAGGAACTGGAGATCTCTCTGGATCTTTTTTATAAGGACACTAATACATTCTTGAAGGCTTCACCTTAAGCACTTCCCAAAAGCCCTGCCTACTGATACCATCATATTGGGCATTAGGACTTCAACATATGAATTGGGCCAGCCCAGGATGGGGCGACCCAAACATTCAGACCATAGCATTAGGGCTGCCATCATGAAGTACCACACACTAGGTGGCGTAGAACAACAGAAACTCATTGTCTCATAGGTCTGGAGACTGTAAATCCAAAATCAAGGTATCAGCAAGGCTGTGCTCCCTCTGAAGGTCTAAGGAAGGGACTATTCCATGCTTTCTCCTAGCTTCTGATTGCCTCATGCATTCTTTGGCTTGTAGATGCATCACTCCACCTTCAAATGGCATTCTCATGTGTGTCTTTGTATCATTTTCCCTCTCTCCATGTTTCCCCTTTTTACGGATACCAGTCATATTGGTAGGGTCCACCTTAACAACCTAGTTTTAACTTGATTACCTCTATAAAGACCATATTTCCAAATAAGGTCACATTATGAGGTACTAGGAGGGTTAGGACTTCACCATACCTTTTTAGGGGCAGGGGACACAATTCAAACCATAACAGAACTTTAGACAAGAATAAAAGTAAATTGAGAAACTAATGTTCTATAAAATATATTCTGCTTCCAGTAGATTGAGTTGAATCTATTGTAGGCAATGGATTCTTTGGGCTTCAGTTTCTTGCTTGCTTTCTCCTTATTGAAAGTTTAGGCTGAACTGAGATCACCATTTTCAAAGGTCAAACTGGTTCAGTATTGACAATTTCCTATGGCTCAACCTAATAACTTAGAAATATCTTTGTGAGGGCTTCCCCAGAGGCTTCCCTGGTGGCTTAGCCATGAAGAATCTGCCTGCCAATGCAGGAGATATGGGTTTGATCCCACATTCCTCAGAGCAGTTAAGGCCGTGTGCCACAAACATTGAGCCTGTGCTCTAGAGCCCAGGAGCTGCAATTACTGAGTCAACGCACTGCAACTATTGAAGCCCACATGCTCTAGAGCCCATTTTCCACAACAAGAGAAGCCAGCACATTGAAATGAAGAGTAGCTCCCGCTCACTACAACTAGAGAAAGTACTCACACCGATGAAGACCCAGCATAACCAAAAATAGATAAATTTTTGAAAAAAGAAATATCCTTGTGGTACCCTAGCCAGTCATCCTTCCACAGGCACAAGATCAGCCGGACTCCTCTACTTCCAGGGGCAACTGATCCTGGGATGGCCAAGTCTCCTGTCCTAGAAGCTCTGTCTCTAGGTCCCACCTGCAGTTCCCAAACTCCAAGAAAAGCCCCAGCAGATGACTCACTGCAGAGGCAAGGCTGGTAGTTTCGTCTCCTTAGAAATTCAGAGAGAGCTTTGTGAAAGTGTCAGGGAGGTGCCTGGGCTTGCAGCTCTGCAGTTTGCATGTCTGGCAACAACCACCCTTTCTTCCCAGTCTTCCTTCCATCTACTCCTAGGACTATAGAGACAGTGGGCCTTTATGACAGCTCTGTCTCACAGCTCGCTTTCAAGGACACTAAGCATGTTAAAAATGTGAAGCTGAAGGAACAAGCTAGCACTGCCATCTACTTGCACTTAATTAGTACAATTTAGACAGTGAAAGTACTTAATCATTTGGTCAGTCTTACAAAACTGCTACTGGCTTCCCAGGTGGTGCTAGTGGTAAAGAACCCAACTGCCAATGCAGAAAACATGAGATGAGAGTTGGATCCCTGGTTCAGGAAGATTCCCTGGAAGAAGACATGGCAATCCACTCCAGTGTTCTTGCCTGGAGAATCCCATATACAGAGGAGCCTGGCAGGCTACAGTCCATAGGGTCACTAGAGTCAGACACAACTGAAGCAACTTAGCATGCACTCACAAAACTGCTACAACACACCAGACCTTCATCCAGGGGAAAAGAAGCTAACAGGAAGAATGCCAAATGACTGGTTTTTCTTCTTTCTATCAAATATGCTCATACCTCTGTTTCTAGCCATTGTGCAGTTTTAGTTCTGACACTGCTTTGTCTATGTCCAAGGTACATGACAGCATATGAGTGAGACTACACCAAATAGCTAAGGGAAAAGCTCAGTAGCTGTTAACACAGGGTTTCCGCCATAGCCAGTGAGGGCAAAATGGGTTCCCTGTTTTGCAACAGACTGTTCCTAGGCTTGACCAAACCCTGGCGTTCTTGCCCTTATCAGGCTTTTACTTTGGTAAATACAAAAGATTGGCAAAAGGTGGCTAAACAGGAAGAAGGAAGTAGGTAAGAGCACAATTGTTGCAACCTTCACTCTATTACTAGCTTGCTGTGTAACCCATGCAGTTGTTCCTCACTGCCCATTTCCCCTCTACACTGGATGGAAAATAACATTTTGAATGAAGATTAGGAATAGATGCTGGTCAGTGTTAAAATATCCTTGAACTATCAGTGCAAACATAACAAGGCAGTGAGTTTTTGCTGTTAACCCCATGCTTCTAAATGTCTAAGAAGCATAATAAGAAGATAGTCATGTAGAGAAATACATTATTGGAGAAATAAAAAATAACAGAAAATAAAGGTAACTTTTTTCCTCTAATTGGAAAGTGGATGGAAACAAAGGGAAGTCATGGAAAACTTACTCCTTATTAAGCAACTTCCTGTCTCCTGTGTTGCCCACCCTATTACCTTCTCAGGACCCTGACATTCCCTCTACCCTAGGGAGCTGTAAAGTCAAATTGGTGTTCCACTAATAACCAGCCATCATGGAGTCCTAGCAAAACATAGTTTTCAGTGCCAACTATAATTTAGGAACAAGGTAATCTCTTTCAAATTTATATCACTGAAAATAAACCATGGATTTTTCTTCTCAGAAAAGGTTCAAATTTCTTCTGATAATATTCTTGGTCTTGCACTACTATGGTCAACACAGAATTGCAGGATTGGCTCATTCTTCTTAAGTGTAGATTTAAAATTAAGTGGACGGCAGACAAAGGTGCCACAAGATAAAAGAAATAAAAATACCAAAAGATTAATATCCTTTTTGAATATGGTTACAAACATTCTCAACAAGACAGAAGTAAACTGAATTTCGACAGCACATTTAAAAGATTATATACACCATGACCATGGGGGTTTATCCCAGAAACACAACAATAGTTCCACATAAGAAAATCAGTCAATGTAGTATACCACATTAATAGAACAAAGGCATAAAACTACATGATCATTTCAATAGATGCAGAAAAGTCATTTGACAAAATTCAATATCTTTTCATAACAAATATTCCAAAAAACAGGAAAAGAAAATAACTTCATTAACATAGTAAAGGGCACCTATGAAAAATCCACAGCTAGTATCATACTCAATAGCGAAAGACTGAAATCTTTCCCCTTAAACTCAGAAACAAACAAACAAAAAAAGGATTCATACTTTTACTACTGCTATTCTACATAAGACCGAAGTCCTAGACAGTAACTGAACAAGAAAAATAAAAGGCATCCAAGTTGGAAAGGAAGAAGTAAAGCTATGTTTAGATGACATGGGTTTATACATAGACAACGCCAAAGAATCTACCAAAAAAACAAGCTATAGCTAATAAATGAATTCAGCAAAGTTACAGCATACAAGACTTCATATAAATTTTAAACTTCTGTGCATCAAAGGACATTATCAAGAAAGTGGAAAGGCAATCTATAGAATGGGAGAAAATATTTACAAATTATGTATTTGATAAGGGTTTAGTACCCAGAATATATAAAGAACTCTTAAAACTCAACCCCAAAGGTCCATAATTTAAAAATGAGCAAAGCGGAACAAGACAAAGGTGCCCACTCTCACCACTCCTATTCAACATAGTTTTGGAAGTGTTGGCCACAGCATTCAGGGCAGAAAAAGAAGTAAAAGGAATCCAGATAGGAAAAGAGGAAGTGAAACTCTCACTGTTTGCATATGACATGATCCTCTACATAGAAAACCCTAAAGACTCTACCAGAAAATTACTAGAGCTAATCAA